ATTTAAATTATTTGCTCTGGATTTACATTGAGACCTCTGGATTTTATCCTCCTTAGGTTTACCCATACGGATTACCTAGTTTTTCATAAATTATATATATATATATATATATATATATATATATATATATATATATATATACTGTTCTGAATGTCAAAGAAATTTCGTAGAAAATATGCGTTTTCTGACTGGAATTAAACTTGTGTGCTATACAGAATTGTCATTTGATCTGACGTGCTATACCACTCAGCTTCAGGGGAGTTAAATGTCATTAATACTGTCTATTTAAAAAAAAACTATTTACTTAAATAACTTTTATCTATTAAAAATAACGTATAAACAGAAATTATATTAAATATTTGTCGGACATTTCATAAAATGTGGTCAATGTTTACGTTAAGGTACGTTTCTTAAGCAGATATAATCGTCCGGGAAAGATCGTGAAAGATTTGTTGTTTATAAACAGTAATTTAGACATTGCTAAACAGACGCTTCTCTGTAGCTGAGTGCTACAGCACGTCAGATCAATCGACGGTTCCGTATAGGCCACAGATTCGATTCCTGTCGGAAAACGATATATTTTCTACGAAATTTCTCGAACATTCAGTAAATGTAATTAAAATAACGTATAAAGAGAATATATATATATATATATCTGTTCTTTTTACTGTTCTTTCTGTTCACACACATACATACACACGCGCGCACACACACACACATACATGTATATATACATATATATGTATATATATATATATTGTTTAAAAATATGATTCCTTCGCTACATAAGAGTTCTCATGTTTCAAAAACGAGAGCCGAAAAACCATCCAAATAATTATTAGGAATTAAAATTTCTCTTGAAAATGAAACGGGACTAAACATTTTCAATCCAACTTAATTTTAATAATTATTTGGATGGTTTCGGCTCTCGTTTTTGAAACATGAGAACTCTTATGTAGCGAAGGAATCATATTTTTAAACAAATAAAGTATTATAATATAAGCTCTACTTCTGTATGGAGCACTATCTTCTTCTTAAAAATAAAAACAAAAATACTAAGGAACTCCGGATTATGCACCCAACGTGTTCTTTTCTATTTTCTGCATACCTGCGCACTTATACATTATATATATATATATATATATATATATATATATATATATATATATATATATATACCGGGTGTAATAGCAAATAAAAAACCGATTGGTTCTTGAATGAATTTTGAAGATGGAAGCCAGAGTATGAATATTGGAAACCTTATTGAAGACATTAATGATCTTTTCCTCTCACCATTACTCATTTGGAAAGACTGGGTCTGACACAAAACAATTTTAATCTCCTCTATTTTTAGCTGAATAACTCAAAAGGTTTTTCAGTGATTCTTACTAAAATTCTGGTATCAAGATGGCTAAACGTCGTATCTGAAAACCAGGAAAAAAGAAATTCAATTAGTTTAGCGTGTTTTCAGATATTAAACATTTTGTGGGATGGACAATTATCGCATGCTGTTACACGAATTGGACAATTTTGCTGTTGCACCCGGTATATATATATATATTTCCCGCGTGGTCATGTGTGACGTCACGAGCTGCGACGCGATTTTCGCTTCCGCGTCTTGTATATGCAACGATAAACACGCGCATATAAGACGCTAGAAGCGAAAATCGCACCGCATCTCATGACGTCGTTGCTTATTGAAAACCTGAATGATCTTTTCCTCTCTTCATCAGGTTAGTCGAAAAGCCGACGTAAACTATGGAGGACGCCAAGTGACACAATTCAATATATTCCTTTTGTCTTTATTCATATTGTCTCTTTACAAATATATTCTAAAATTTTACAACTCTGTCTCTCTCCCTTTCTCTCTCATTTTCTGTCTCTGAATCCTGTTTTTTTCTGTTTAGCAGTGATTACTCAGCTTCATTCAAACTTGTCATTCATAATTGCGTGGAATAATCAGTAATTAACGCCACATTCGTTGAGAATTTTAATTCTTTTATTTATAGCCACGTCATTATTTATATAAGCAATTGATCCACCTAATTAATGCGTTTTACGAGGTCAAAATACTGAGCGGGTTTCCACTGTGGAGAGTTGCATAAAAAATAATTACAATAACAGACAAATTAACTATCGCTTAAGAGCAGGAGTCCAATCGTAGAAGTATGTGCCTTCGTCTCATTTCTGTCGCACTTATCACCTGTGGAACTAGCTTCCTGATTTTCTGTCAACTACAATCTACAAAAAGCTAAATGCATATTTTGTCTCGTTGAATCTTTTTTCATTTATTGCCCTATCTCTTCGCTAAGTATTTCACTTCCCCCACCGTTCGTCTTAGAGGCTTTATCGCCTTGCTTAAAGATGAAATGATTCAAAAATCGAAGATGATATTATCAATTTTGCTTGAGATTAAATAATTTCAACCATCGTATTGATGATGATAGATTCATCCATCTTAGCGTGTTCAATGAACAGTCAACAAAATCGCCAAAAATCCGATTTAAATTTAATTTTTAGAATAAAGTCCCACCTGCTAAATTTAAATAGAAACTTATTCCTATTAATTATAATTTCCACAAAAAAGCTGACTCCTCAAAATTAAGTGTTTTATAATCTGTATCTTTAAATATTCTATTTCAGTTATAAGATGTGTAAGATGTACCAATATTATATATTTTTTTTTAAGCTTTTAAGTTTTGTAATTCGAATTCCAGTCGAGTTCGTTGCATTGACTTACTCGCAAATACCTTTAGGAAAGGCATGAATTCATCTCTTCTCCCCTCAGCTATGGGTTAAATAGCAGGACAAACTGGGTCATATAGCCTGTATCAGTTTTCCCAACTTTTTTTCAACCGGCTTCCCATTTGATCTCAAACTTTTTGTCAACGCCCCAAATTAAATTTCGAATATTTTATGGATTCAACTTTCATAGTATGATAAAACTCGGGTGCAAAAATAATTTTAATATTTTCTTCATTTCTATTATAAATGCCAATGATTATAATCCTAAAAAAAAAAAAAAATCTTTTATTTGATAGCTTAATGTTTTCAATGCGATGGTTGACTTTGGTGCTTACTGGCAAAGGCACTTACTTGAAGTTCATCTGATAGCTTATGTCAATGTTTTCAGTGCAATGGTTGATTTTGGTGTTTACTGGCTAGGGCTCTTACGCTACGTTCATCTGATAGCTTATCTCAATGTTTTCAATGTGATGGTTGACTTTGGTTCTTACTGGCTAAGCCTCTTAATCTAGGTACCATGCTGCTTAGAAGGAATCAGAGATCTCTTCATTTTGTAATTTGCAGACGATTTCTTTGTTTAGTAAGATTACGTGTAACTGCGTTGAACCAACATTCAACCATATAGGAATTTGGAAAAGCAATGAAGAAAAGTTTGATCGCTTCCCACAGCTTTAGAGACCTTCCAGAAATTTCCTTTAGCAGTCAGTACCGAATAATTTTTGCAAATTAAAATAATGGATAAATGCCCCCGTAAATGAAATAAAACCTCTCAGTGCCCCCTTTCAACATAACAGGCCCCACAAGTGTTTGTGTGTGTGTGTGTGTGTGTGTGTGTGTGTGTGTGTGTGTGTGTGTGTGAGAGAGAGAGAGAGAGAGAGAAAGAGAGAGAATCATTTTAGATAAAACTGTAAAAGATACTCAGGATGAGTTCAAATTATTCCGTCAATCTGTTGCGTTCACTCCCGCACTAATGCCCTTGGGAAAGGCATGAAGAAGGTTTCTTCTTACTCCAGGTAAAGGTTAAACAGGTTAGGCCGGAATCTGTCGTTTGGGGTGGTAACCCGACTAATTGAAGTAAAACCGTAGAATCGTGGTTATTTCAGGTTTTTGTTTTCATCTTTCAAAATACATTTTATCAGGTGTAAATAGTTCTCGTGCGCAGTAATTGAGACAAATTTAGACAAGAAAGATCAGTTCCGAGCTTAGCTTTCTTTAGTCTTCCGAGATTAGCTTTCCGCAGCGAATGTATGCAAACAACGCGAGTAATGGCTGCCGCCAACGACGCGATTGAATCCCCAATTTCACTGTCGATAACTCCAAAACGGTAGATTTTATCAAGCCAGATTCAAGTGGACCATGTACAATTAGACAGAAATGTAAGTATTTTGGAAAATTTTAATGTGTATTTAGCGCAGGTAATACACTGCAAATTAACCGAAAAACGTTCATGCAGAAGTCTAAATCTTTGAATTTTCTGCATTATTTATTGCTAATTTTCAGATCGAAATATTACAATATTTTGTCTACTTATTTTAGGAAGCCATGAATGAAAACAAAACATTGTTTTTATCAAGGCTAATTTGTGTGTTCGTGAATAGTGAGTTTAAACCACACTGGGTGACGCATGCATGGTTAGCCATTAAGTAACCCAACAAAGGTTGACATATCTTAGCATCGACTAAAGCTTCTTTTTTTATATACCAATAAAACATTAACGATTTCAGTAATTTGGTTTTCATCTTTCTAAATGCATCTCATTGAATATGAAAAATGCACATCTAGAAATATAAATTATTGTTAATATTTCTGCATTATTTATTACTAATTTTCAGATCAAAATATTACAATATTTTTTCTACTTCTTTTTAGGAAGCCATTTTATAAAATAAATCCAGTTTTCTTTTCGTGTAATTGTTTCAGCAAAGATTAAAGGATAGAGTAAGTTAGGTTCTGTCGTTTTTGGTGGCAACAAATCTAAGAGAAGGAAACTTCTGAAGTCAAAGTCGTAGAATAGTGGCGATTTCAGTTTTTTTGTTTTCATCTTTTTAAATACGTTTTATCAGCCGTAAAAGCCATTTTATCAGCCATGTTTTTGTCAAGTTTTTAATCATTTTTGTAATAATTATTTTTTTATTTTTAGACTGAAATGATTAGAATAAGTTTTCTACATTTTTAAAATAATTTCTATTTCATATTTAATTTCATTTTCATTACCTCTTTAACCTGATTTGCTTTCGACTTTTACAGACACCATCATGAATCGCTATATGATGAGGCATCGTCCCATGTACAGTAACATGTACAGAACAGGAAAAAAATACAGAGGTATGATGGAGCCAATGTCCAGAATGACCATGGACTTCCAAGGAAGATACATGGACTCTCAGGGCAGAATGGTCGACCCCAGACACTACGACTACTACGGAAGATGGAACGACTATGATCGTTACTACGGACGGTCCATGTTTAACTACGGACCCCACATGGACGGTCAACGCCACGGCGGCTGGATGGACTTCCCCGAGAGATGGATGGACATGTCTAACTATCAGATGGACATGCAGGGTCGCTGGATGGACATGCAGGGACGCTACTGTCACCCGTTCAACCAGTGGGGGTACAATAGACACGGCAACTATCCTGGCTACTCCTACGGTCGTAATATGTTCTACCCAGAGAGATGGATGGACATGTCCAACTGGCAGATGGACACACACGGGCGCTGGATGGACATGCAGGGACGCTACGGCAGCCCGTTCAGCCAGTGGGGGTACAACCGTCATGGCTACTATCCTGGCTACTCCTACGGTCGTAATATGTTCTATCCGGAGAGATCGATGGACATGTCCAACTATCAGATGGACATGCAGGGACGCTGGATGGACATGCAAGGACGCCACGTGAACCCGTTCTCTCATTCCATGTACGGCAGAAATTGGTCTTCTCCTTACTACAATTATTATTCCAGCCGTCACATGGACTATCCCGAAAGATTCATGGATATGTCCAACTGGCAAATGGATACACAGGGACGATGGATGGATATGCAGGGACGTCATATGGATCCTTCTTGGTCAAATATGCAAGACAACTACAATAATTGGTTTTAAACCCACCTCACTGGTCATCTCGTCCGTGTCTTTTCAACATCAAAATATTATCTTCCAAATGCTAAAGAAAGATTAAAAAATTCCGTTATGGGCTAAACGCCCAAACGAACTTATTCAATTTTATTACTGAGCGCAGAGTCGTTTCTAAAGCCAAACAATGAAAAATCTTTGCCATTAAAACCAATAAAAAAAAGACACTCTTTGCTTGATTTATTTTGTTCTAATCAAGAATTTCATCTGTAAGATTCACTCAAGATCGCTTCTTTTTTCTTATTCAATAAAATTGTATATTTTCGTCAACCTTTTTTCCGTTTTTTCATTACATTCTATTTTGTTTTCACTTTGAAAATTATTCGACAGAAAATGGGTCATGGATGAAAAAACATGTCTATATGAAATTGAATATTATTGAAACATAAAGAACCCTAAAAATTTCACGGTTATCCTATTTGGGTTTTCTAATGAATCTTAATTCTTCAGTTAATGATCGAATAAGCTCATGACAAGTTCTATGACAATAAAATATCCGTAGAAAGTTCTCTATCGTATCGTTAAATATTTGAGCTTAACAACCTTAACAAAACTAGAAAGACCTGTAATAATTTAACGCTTTTGCTATTTGAATTTTCTGATGAATCTTAGTTCTTAAGTTAATAATTGAATAAGCTCATGACGATTACTACGACAATAAAATATCCGTATGAAATTCCCCTATCTCATCGTTAAATATTTGAGCTTAACAACCTTAACAAAACTAGAAAGACCCGTAATAATTTAACGCTTTTGCTATTTGAATTTTCTGATGAATCTTAGTTCTTAAGTTAATAATTGAATAAGCTCATGACGATTACTACGTCAATAAAATATCCATAAGTAATTACCCTATCGTATCGTTAAATATTTGAGCATAACAACCTTAACAAAACTATAAAGACCCGGGGACATTTCTCGGTTTTCCTATTTAGATTTTGTGATGAATCATAATTCTTCAGTTAATTCTTCAAAAGAACATGTCGAGTTCCACGACAATAAAACATCCGCAGAATTTCCCCTAACATATCATTAAATATTTGAGCTTAACAACCTTAACAAAACTAGAAAGACCCATAATAATTTCAGGTTTTTCCTATTTGAATTTTCTGATGAATTTTAATTCTTCAGTTAATGATTCGAGATTTATTTCTTTCCTTCCTTTTTTTTTTTTTTTTTTCTTACTTTCTCTCACTGGAACATAGTAACGTCTCTGATATGTCTTTTTCGTCTTTCCACTTGATCCAAACGGTATAATCCATTGTCTTACCTCTTACAACCTACTCTCTGACAAACAATATGGCTTCCGTTTTGCAGCTGATGTATTTACGGCCATCACTGAATACGTATATCAAGCTGTTGATAATAAAGGCAAAGCTCGACTCAAGATATCTTGAAGGCGTTTGACAAGGTTTGGTATGCTGCCATTCTACATAAGTTTCAGGGCTATGTTATTACAGGACGATTTGTTTGATTTAATCCAATCATTCCTATCAAATCGTGAAATAAAGGCCATTTTAAACGGCCTCGCTTCCAGATCATTTTACACAAACACGGATATACCACAAGTTTCTATCCTGTGTTCTACGCTGTTTCTGATTGTCGTCAATGATCTCCGTGATGTCATCAGTAACCAAATAGGCATTTATGCTGATGACACTACCATTTACTCCTGTCTCAATAGCAAATACGTCAGGGCTGACAAAGTTAACATGGCCGCTGCTCTTGAAAAGGAATTCCGATCTGTGGTTAACTGAGGCAGGAAAATGGCTCGTAAATTTTAAACTGCTTTCATGGTGAAACTTTCCTGCAAAACAACCAGCAGGACTGATGATAGACTCATGGAGTCTATCATCAGTCCTGCACACTGCGACGTCTTGCCTTCACGATCTCAACTGACTTCAAATGGTACCCCAACATCGAATCAAAGGCTGTATCTACTATTTGTTTTTCCCTAAACAGATTCCACCAGCCACACAGTAATGCTGTAACAACACAGCAGAGAGAATATTAAACCGATTTTAAGCGATTTTTTTTCTAAATGGCTACTTTCGTGAATTTGTCATAAACTATTTCTAACCAATGAAAATTTTACAGATTTCCTATCTGAATTTTCTGATGAATCTTAATGCTTCACTTAATGATTGAATAAGCTCTAGGCGAGTTCTACGACAATAAAATATCTGTAGAAATTCTACTATTGCATCGTTAAATATTTCAGCTTAACAAATTTAACAAAACTAGAAAGACCCGTAATAATTACACGCTTTTCCGATTTCATATTTCTGATGAATCTTAATTCTTCATATAATGATTGAATAACCTGATATCGAGTTCTATGACAATAAAATATCTGTAGAAATTCCCTTAACACATCGTTTAATATTTGAGCTTAACAACTTTAATATGAATTTTTCTTAGGAAATTCATTTGAACTACGTTTAACACCTGACATTTTCACTGTTTTTCTATTTTAATCTTTTGCTGAATCATATGACGATATTAAATAAACTTATGGCGAGTTCTACGATACTAAAACATCCGTAGAAATTCGCCTATCACAACGTTAAACATTTGATCTTGACAACTTTAACAAAACTAGAAAGACCCGTAATAATTTCACGGTTTTCCTATTTAAATTTTCTTACTAATCTTAATTCATATGTTAATTTTTGAATAAACTCTCTGATGTGTTTTCCCTCATAGTTCATTATTTATTTTGTATTGGCCGGGTGTAATGGTCGTGCTAACTAAGACATGGACAAGAAGAATTATAATAAAATACTTGTAACATTCAATTATTTTTACAAAAATATAAGCAGCAAGATTGATTATTAAAAAAATGGGTTTAAATCATTTAAGACATTTACTTCATAAATTAACGACGGCGAGTTCTACGACAATCATCAATATGAATTCAGGTAGTTATTAATATTTTAAAAATTAAGTCTGGAGAAATAAAAATATTTGGATTGACTTATGGAATTTTACTGAAACAGACGTTTATCTTCCTATGTTTTGTTCTTTTATTCATTTTCTCATTGAGTCAACCTAGCGTCTCGGATATGTTTTGCCGTCTTTCCACGCAAAGAAAACGGAATTGTCTGTTATTTATGAGGTACTGGCAGGACATAACGGTCGTGCTAACTAAATTATTTAAGCAATTCTCTTTGCCTGAGGAGAATTGCTTAAAAAAAACGTCAACAGGACAAAGACTGCATTAACAAAAACTTCACACATTAATTCGAAAAAAAACTGCTTATTTACAATTCAGACAATAACAGAAGCACTAAAAATGTATTCTCGCTAGAATCCGGGTGACATCTGACTGGTGGTCTTATATATATATATATATATATATATATATATATATATATATATATATATGTCGAGATCAGTATCTAAAAAATAATCTTTAATTTTTATCGATCCTAACCTGTCTATTCAGTGGTTCATTGAAGATATAAAAAAATAAATTCTCGCTAGAATCCATCTTGCATGTTTATAAATCTACCATTTGCCGGAGTGTCTATTCTACATATGACCAGTGGTCTTGCTACATCTGTTGCAATTATTATCAAAATCTAAAGAAAGGGTCTTTAATGTTATCGATCCTGACTTGTATATTCATAATTCAGTGGTTTATAGAAGATATAAAAAAATAATCTCTCGAATCCATCTTGCATGTTTATAAAACTACCATTCGCCTGGTCACTGAATATGCGTGTCACATCTGATCCAATGCTTCTGTGATCGCAAGATTATTGTCACCCCCCGCTAAAGTGTCTTTAATGTTATCGATCCTGACCTAACATGTCAACTTCATTCCCTTTATCACCACCCTGTGGTGACTTCCTTCTGCCCTTTCTATAAATATTTTCATGGAAATTCTTCTAATGAACTTGCCTTCTTTTGTACCCCAACCTCATTAATTTAAGCTTAGTACCAGATTGCCAACTCTGTCTCATTGTTTTACTCTTCAAATAGCTAAATATTACTTAGTATATTTTCTTTCCTCGCACATCTTCCATGTGGAACTCGCTTCCTGTTTCTTACTTCCCAGCAACTTAAGATCTTCACAAATTTAAATGTAATATCAATCGCCATCTTTTCTCCTAAAACCTGTTCTTTTATCTTCCTTTCTCGTTATGTTGTGGAGTTTTTTCGTAGTGGAGGCTTGTATTTGTACTAAATCGGTCCTAAATAGGTTTGACGTACAAAACATTAGGAACTTGATATAATAGGTATTACGCAGAGTAATCTTGTTGTGGTCGCTGACTACTTTCGTTTCGACTAACTGTCGTCCGACATCGACGCTATTTAGTAACTGCCCCACGCAGTCACATGTGGCACAAGGCCGAATTTAATGTGGGGTTCTCGAGCCCGTAGGCTCGGCCAAAAACTCCCCGTTGACCCCGCATAAACGGGATCGGGTCTGTCTACCTCCCCGGACGAAACTCTACCCATCCGCATAGCCTCGTCCGGGTTCGACTGTCGTCCGACATCAACTAGTATTTAGTCGCCCCACCCCCACGAGGGTATCATGTAGCACAAGGCCGGTTTAACGTGGGATCTCCGAGCCCGTGGGCTCGGCCAAAAATATACCTTTTGAACCCGTTTAAACGGGTTCAGGGTCGGTTTACCTCCCCGAACGAGACTCCGCCCTTCGGCGTAGCCCCGTTCGGGTTCCTCCCCACCCGAACGCAAAGAGTTCAGCCGGTCGTCCGACATCGACTGACCCTCGTTTCTCTTACTACTCCTACTTATATTAGGTGGGAGAGCCGATTAACTATAGAATAGGTGTATTTCACCATAACACTTTACTAGAGTTTACGTCTTCTCTTTCACTTTCAGTAACCCCTTGCATCTTAGTAACATTATGGCCTTACTTGGGGTGATTTAATTGAAAAAAATCTTGTTTAAACATTGTACGCTTTCTTGCTTAAAAAATTAACCTTTTACAAAGTTGA